TCCCTTCTGATGGTTTTTGTTTTTCCCCAGGATATATTTTATATATCACATTGTACATTTCCCAGTACAGTGATTAGTTACACCTCTGTATACGTGAGGAGATGGAAACATGGCTCTGCTTCCTTTCATCACTTCTGGCCCTTTGCATAATACAGAAAGAAATGAGCTGTTTCTTCTGCAAGCAGTGGAACAAATCAGTAGCAATAGTCTCTCATGTCTCATCTGTTCTCTTATGCTGAAGCAGAAGACTGGACCTGGATCAGTTTTTCATTTGCACATCTATTCTGGGAATAGATCATTTGTTTATGTAGAAAGCATAGTTTCAGCATGCAAATGTGTTTACATCCCTTGGTGGGATGGATTCTTTGCCTTATTGAGACAACCAGACTAAGGAAGCTCATGGTCTCATCTTGGCTGCTGTAGACTCCTGTACTATTGGCATCTCGAGGACAGAACTAATACAACTGATTTCAGTTAAGTCCTTCATAATTATCCTAATGCCGAATGTAGACAACTATTGGAAGGAGACGTATCCAGAGAGTAAAGATTAGAGTACACCAAGTCCCAGCGAGTAAGTAAGCATTCACTAGAAAGCTTCCTGGAGGCCCATGATATCTCACTGAAACTTAGTAAATCAAACAGTTTGGCTGCACGTAACTTACAGTCTCTTTTTGCCCCCACTTCTTTAGACTAGTTGCTTCCACAGGAAATTTTAAAATCCTGAAGAAATTTGTATCTACTGGTAAATAAGAAATGTATCAAGAAAAACTTGGGAACTTTTCCAAATTGAAGCTACTTGAGAATAGTATTCATGAGAATATTAAGACCCCGCTGGTCAAAAGGAAAATTCAAAAGAAGAAAAAAGTTCTGTCACTGAGTATCTGTATCACTGTTCTACAAAGGACAATAATACAGCTGGGTATGTATGGTTAAAAAAGGCAAAAATAAGAATCTGAATTTAGGCAAGGACTTTAAAAAAACTGTTTAGTGCCTATTGTCCCCATTTTTCTATTACGTAGAAGTGCCTGAAAATGTGAATGAAATAGAAGTTCATGAGAGCCGAAACATGGGAAAGAAGGAAGACATAAAGTCATAGAATCATAGAATAATTCAGGTTGGAAGGACCAGATTGCACGAGGGCACCTTTAAGAATGGAGACTGCACAACCTTCCTGGGTTGTCTGTTCCAATGCTTGAATGTCCTAACAGTGGAAACTTCTCTTCTTTCAAGTTATGTTTGTTGTCTCTTGTCTTCCCAGTGTGTGCCTCTGTGAAGAGCCTGGCGCCGTTTTCTTGATACCTTTCCCTGCCATGAAAGGGCAGAGGAAGGAAAAGGAGATGAACCTGTCAGTAGAAAACTTCTTTGTGCTCGAGAATAGCTAATCAACGTTCCCAGGCCCACTAAGCACCAGCTGGTGTAGGGAGGAAGCCAGCCTAAAGCTGTGTATCACATTTTCCAAAAATTTACAGTTGTGCATACCCAGCTGCCCATGGAAGGCAATCGGAGAGCGATCACAAATTTTAATGAAAGTTCAAAGGCAGCTAAATATTTTTCATTCTCTAAATCAGAAATTTGATCTTTGTAACTTTCAGGCTTTATTTTAGCTCCAAGTAAAAATAAAGATACTTGAGTTATCAGGTATGTAACCACTAGTAGCTTTTTCCGAGCATGTATTAAAGGGACAGTTGACTGGAGGACGGAATAGGTAACATATATGGTAAAATAGGAAATTATGAATTCAGAATGTTGAGCAGAATGATGAGCAGATGAATGCCTGTATTTCCCAAATGTTTTGCATGCCCATAAAAGAGAATTTTGCCTTGACTTCAATAAGTGCATTTTAATCTGGTGTCAATTTTGACTTACATTTTATAAATGTTAGAGTTTTTTCATTTTCAGTAAGCATGCTTATCAGTTCCAAAATATACATGCTTTTTTCCCATACATTTTCATTTTTTATTACAACTCAATAAAACTTTCATATTGCAATAAAGTGATAGAATCAAAAGAAAAAATGCAGAAATCAGACATTAATTTATGTTACTTTATCATACTCAGGGCAAATGAAGTTGATGGCCTATTTTTTAATTGATAAATTGATTACAATTTTGTAAGAAGTGGTGGTGGAATTCAGCAAAAATGATTGAGGTGGTACAAATGCTTATAAATCTGTCCGACATTGCTCGTGTTCTTTAATTGTAATTGTCTGAAAAAACTTCCATCGGTTTCTGTAATTAACCTAGTGGTCTAAATGAATTTCCAGATCCCTGGTTATTCATTTCAATATAGAAAATGCCATTACATTGAGTTTAATTA